ATGGCATAAAATTAAATAGCCTCTGCATAACAAAATAAACAAGAATGTGAAAAGAGAACCTACAGAATGGGAGAAAATCTTTGCTAGCTACTCTTCTGACAGAATATATAAAGACATAAAAAAAACTACTGAAGGACATCTAGGTTGGTTCCACAGTCTAGCTATTGTGAATTGTGCTGCTATAAACATTGATGTGGCTGTGTCCCTGTAGTATGCTCTTTTTAGGTCTTTTGGGTATAGTCCGAGAAGGGGAATAGCTGGGTCAAATGGTGGTTCCATTTCCAGCTTTCCAAGGAATCTCCATACTGCTTTCCAAATTGGCTGCACCAATTTGCAGTCCTACCAGCAATGTATGAGTGTACCTCCCCTGCTTCCCATCCTTGCTAGCACTTATTGTTGTTTGTGTTGCCATTATTATTGGAGTGAGATGGTATCTTAGAGTAGTTTTAATTTGCATTTCTCTGATTGCTAGAGATGGTGAGCATTTTTTCATGTATTTGTTGATTGATTGTATATCCTCCTCTGAGAAGTGTCTGTTCAGGTCCTTGGCCCATTTGTTGATTGGGTTATTTATTTTTTGTTGTTTAACTTTTTGAGTTCTTTGTATACTCTAGAGATTAGAGCTCTATCTGATATGTGAGGGGTAAAAATTTGTTCCCAGGATGTAGGCTCCCTATTCACCTCACATATTATTTCTCTTGCTGAGAAAAAACTTTTTAGTTTGAATTCATCCCATTTGTTGATTCTTGGTTTTAACTCTTGTGCTATAGGTGTCTTATTAAGGAATTTGGGGCCTGCCCCCACATGATGGAGATTAGGGCCAACTTTTTCTTCTATTAGATGCAGAGTCTCTGGTTCCATTCCTAGTTCCTTGATCCATTTTGAGTTAACTTTTGTGCATGGTGAGAGAAAGGGATTCAATTTCATTTTGTTGCATATGGATTTCCAGTTCTCCCAGCACCATTTGTTGAAGATGCTCTCCTTTCTCCATTGCATGCTTTTAGCACCTTTGTCTAATATAAGGTAGTTGTAATTTTGTGGATTGGTCTGTTTCCTCTATTCTGTACCATTGGTCTACCAGCCTGTTTTGGTGCCAGTACCATGCTGTTTTTGTTACTATTGCTCTGTAGTATAGTTAAAAATCTGGAATCGTGATACCAAGATGCCCTTCAATAAATGAATGGATAAAAAAATGTGGCATTTATACATAGTGGAATATTACTCAGCACTAAAAAATAACAAGATCATGTCATTTGCAGGGAAATGGATGGCATTAGAGCAGATTATGCTAAGTGAAGTTGGCCAATCCCTAAAAAACAAATGCCGGATGTCTTCTCTGATATAAGGGGGGTGACTCAAAATGGGATAGGGAGGAAGATCATGAGAAGAAGATTACCACTAAATAGGGAAGAGAGGTGGGAGGGAAAAGGTGGGAGAAGGGGAATTACATTGAAGATGGAAGGAGACCCTCATCATTATACAGAATACATGTATGATGTTGTGAGGAGAAAAAAAAGAAGTGTGTCACATTGGATTGGGTAGAGAGATGTGATGGGAGGGGAGGGCAGCAGAATAAAATAGACATTATTATGGCTGTATGTATATAGGTGACTGTATGACCAATGTGATTCTGCAACCTGTACAATCAGAAAAATGAGAAATTATACCCCATTTGATTCAAATGTATGAATTGTCAAGATCATTGTACTGTCATGTGTAACTAATAAAAAAAAAGAAATAAAAAACTAACAGAAGAACAAATGGTCTGGTTAATAAATGGGAAAATAAACTGAAGAGTCACTTTTCAAAAAAAGAAATACAAATGGCCAATCAATAGTTGAAAAAATGTTCAACATCTTTAGCAATTAGGGAAATGCAGATCAAAACTGTGCTGAGATTTCACCTCACTGCAGTTAGATTGGCAGCCATCAAGAATACAGACAATAATAAAAACTGGAGAGGATGTGGAGAAAAAGGAACATTTCTACATTGTTGGTGGGAGTGTACAAATATAACCACTATGGAAATTAGTATGGGGGCTCCTCAAAAGACCACAAATGTAATCTCTAGCTATACCACTCCTCAATATTTATCCTAAAGAATTAGTCATCATACCATAGTGACATGATGCCCAGCTTTATTGTTTTTTCCATGCCCATCTTTATTAGCACAATTCATAATAGACAAACTTACAATTGTTTAGCCTAGGTGTCTGCCAATGGAAGAATGGATAAAGAAAATGTGGCATATATACACAATGGAATTTTATTCAGCCATAAAAAGAATGAAATTATATCATTTGCAGAATAATGGATGGAACTTATGAGCATTAGTCAAGTAAAAATGCCAAACTCAGGATATGAGGGGCGTATGTTTTTTTCTCATATGTGTAAACTCAGGATATGAGGGGCATATGTTTTTTTCTCATATGTGTAAAGGAAAAGAAAGGTGGGAATGAAGATCTCCCAAAATTTGAAAAGAAACCAAAAGAAGAGGACCAGGAGGAGGAAGGAAGGTGAAGAAGGGGAAATACTGGGGAATGATATTGACTAGTAACATTTTATATTGTGTGCATATACAAATAGATAATAATGAATTCCACTATTATGTATGATTATAATGCACCAATAAAAATATGGGAAAGAAGAACTTTATCTCACTAATTCTTGCTGAGCTTTCTAATTCCTAGTTAGAATTTCCTGTGATTCTTCCATGATTTCCAAATCTAGACCGAAAAATATGGTTGAGAGGGATAATGGTACATTCCAGGTATAATTTGTCACCAAATAAGGGCTGATCTGAAGCTAAAAGAAATACAACTTTCTGCCTGTTTGGAGGATATTTTTGGCATAGTTGCAAATATGTGATATTTATCTTGACACAAGGTTAATTATTTTTAGTAGTAATAAATGAAATGTATTTTAAAAATGTATTTCTCCATTATTAAAAAATATACATATACTATGCTTGCTTCATTCCATTTGTGCCGGGGGAGTGCTTGAACAGAGAAGAAAGCTTTCTCTGATCCCTTCCTGTCAGCCATGGTAATTGAAGCCATACATTTCTAGTCAATAATTTTCTTACTCTGATCTCTCCCTACAAATCTTGTAAATTCTTTAAGTTTCAGCCTTTATGCTACATTATCCAGATAGCTTTGGTGAGGATGCTGAGCAGGGTTTCAGTAAGAGGCATTGTCTTGTTAAAGCAACAAAAGAAAGAACCTTTGGAGTGACACAGACGTGGCATCAAGTTCAAAATCTGCCACTTCCTTCATTACCCTTGGATTTTCTACAATTTCCTCTGCTACAGGAAAATGGAGGTAAAAAAAGTGTCTCCCTTTTACTTGACTGTTGTGAGGATTAAATATGGTAAGGCATATAAAGTTCTACAACAGTTCCTGACACATTTATTGTATATTGTCATTGTTATTTTTCTACATAGTAAATCCCTTATAAAGAATTTCCTGAATAGGCACTTGGTGAACTGAAAAAGTACAACTCTAGTGAAAGAGAAAAACAAGTTAGGAGAAAAAAATGTAAGTTATTATGTAATGTGGAAAAAAAAAAGAATTACATGGGGACCTATTTTGGGTTAGGATTGTTGGGAAGGAGTCTCTGAGGAGATGACATATAAAATGAGACTTCAGAGGAAAAGCCAGCCACACAGAGGGAGAAGAAAATCTCAGGTGGAAGGAAGAGCATACACAAAGATCCTGAGGTAGACATGCATGGGAACTGTCATAGGACTGAAAAGCCACTAGTGTGTTGGGTCAGAATAAATAAGGACAGAATGGCACAAATGAGATCAGAAAGCAACAGAGACCAAACACAAAATGCCAGAGTAGAGAATTCAGCTTTTGGTCTAAGTGCAAAGCAAGGAAGACACTGTGGGGTTTTTGAGCAAGGGAATGACAAGATCTTTAGACTTAATCCATGACTCACAAAAACAAATTGAAGAAGGCTAAGAATTTCTGAAAACATTTGGAATTTGTTCTTTAGATAACCTGAAAGTATAAATATAGACTAAAAGTATAAATATAGATACAAATATTTCCCATTATGACTGAAGCTACCAATAAACCCCAAATCCTTTTGGTAATATTTAACAAAGATTTCATCTACTTTTCTTTCTTTCACACCAGTCATGAATCCTCAATGGACAGTGCGACCCACTTAAAACAAAGGACAGACAAGAGGGCAGGAAGATTTAGAGTAATGGAGAAAGATGGACATAGTCAGTGCCAGCAGAATGGAAGCATAAATGTCTGAGCTGTGAGCACCAAATCATGTCAGAGACGACTGAGATGTTGCCAGATAGATTTCTCAACAGAGAGGAGCAGGATTCCAGTATGAAATTGGTGAGACACTGTAGCACAATACTGGACATCCTGTCACAAGTAACAGAGATTTAAAGAATGTTTAAATTTATATATCAGACAATTATCCTTACAAGTCAGGTACCGTTGGGATAGGCAGTCTTGTTACCACTGGCTTCTTCCTGTAATGCGGGGTTTAATCTCCTCTCTTGAAGCTGCTGCAATCTCATTATATTCTTCTTTTTATTTTAACCTACTTCATATTAGTGAATCACTTAGCACTAATTAACACCACAGCTGTTAATGTAATGAAGTGTTTTTATTTTCACATGACATAATGAACAATTAAAACTATTTTTCTCTCTTAAACAAGTACATTTATTCCCAAAAGAAAAGTCCACGGGGGAAACAGTAGCACGTTTAGATCTCCATTACCTCTCACTCACAGCAGATTAAGAGTGTACATAAAATAGCCAAGCTCCCCAAAATATGTCAGTATTTTTTTGTGTGTGTATGTGTGTTTTGAAAACAAAATTATAGTACTAGAACAGTTTTGGAATTAATTTCATTTTTTTTCTCAAAAGATAAAAGTTTATTAAACATCAGCTATGAACTCGGTTGCAACTAATTATCTTTCATTTCACACAGGTGATAGTAAGTAAGAGCAAAAATGATGAATACCTACTGTTGCCAGGTAACTGCATCCACCGTGCTTCCTGCCACTTTCATGAATCTGTAAAGAATAGAGAAAAAGAGGATAGTGTAACATAAAGTAAACCACATCCTCAAGGTTAAAATAGGATAAACCAAGACATAGATTGGATCAATTCCTGAGCAGCTATGCTCTTTGAAGAGACCCACAGTCATAATTATGGCCTAACCATTGCTATTAAAGGCCAAAATAAAGAAGGTTAAGGCTAGGCTCCCCACACATCCCTCACCACCTACAAATCAAGACTTCAATATAGCATTCTACCTGTGTCGACCTTCCCATGTCCAAGCCTGCTGGCTCTCACATTGATTTTCCTATAATCAAAACTTACTATACCATTTCCAATTCTCTAAGGACTCTTATAGTTTGCTAGAAAACAAAAAAATAATAACATTTCCCAAGGATAACATCACAATAGATGCCCTTGAAAAACTGCTGAAGAAAGCATGGGAAACCCCAATTTATTTATGTAACTATAAGGCACTATCAAATATACCACCATGAAGGACTGCCACACTTGTTTGAGTGTAGAAACTTGAACCAACCAAGAGAACTTATCCACTTCTGGAGCAGCTATGAAGAGCACTGAGTGTCCTCTGATGCGTATGCTCAGCTCAAAAAGAAACCCAGACCTGGTTCTGTGCATCTGAGCACACAGCAAAGTCTTGTTAGGAATTCCTCAGTGTCCTGTGTACTTGGTGGTGGAAGGAAGGCCAGGAGGATGCATCTGGGACTCACAGATGCTACAGAGTATCATAAATCACATGTCTGAGAATAACTCAATTATCTGCCTATCCTTCTCTGGTCCACATGTTCTGAGGCCATGTGCTGTCATGGCTATTATTACTCTTTGAGACAGTTACTACCCAGGCACAGGAAATCAAAGGAACATTTTAATTCCTTGGCCCTGAGGCCCTAGAGGAGAGCTTTTCTTCAAAGGAAACAATCTTTAATAGTACCTCATAACCAAAGGACTCTTCCACCATGGAAGGACATTGTGTTTTGTCTGGAATGCCCTATTGCTACCCTAACCCAGCATAATCTTGCCAGGCAGTTGCCTGGGCAAAGGGGTTGTTACTGTGTCACTTTCCAGGCTCTGCTTTGCTATACTGGTGGAAAGAATGAATCTCTGTGTAGTATAAGCAGAGAAGGCATAAGGGCTAGATACCGGGACTTTCAATTAGCAACAAAGTAAAGTTTATAAAAGTAGGGGAAGAAGAGGGGGGTTGGGAAGGGAGGAGTAGTAGGAGGACAGAGAAGAGGAGGAGCAAGAGTCAGCTACCATGAAGGCCCTAGCTGGGATCTGTTCTGCATGGTTTTGCTTTTTTCTCCAGGATCATTCTGCAGTCCAAGAATGAGAATGTGGGAAATAATAGAGCATGAAAATGATCCAGGAATGGAATTGGTGTAGTGGACAGGACCAAAATGTCAATGTGGGTTGGTGGGAATACAACACTTACTGAGTATCTAGTTAGGATCACCCATTTGTATGAGTTATTCCTTATGTTTCTCAAAATTGCTTTGCTTGGTGATGTGGGTATTATCCCATTATATAGATGACTAGCTTCCTTAAAAGCTTCCAGACACCCCACAGGGCCAGTTTTTATGGGGTCATGCCACCCCTCCTAGCAGCACTCCTTGGGAAGCAGGGGCATTACTTTGCGACCTATGGACTTCTCTTTCTTTTCACCTCATCTCCCCTTCCCCAGCTCAGAAAAATCTCTTTTTAGTTTGGAAGAGTAGTTCCACTCTCTTCACTACTTCTGCCCCTACACTTAGGAATTAAACAGCCAGACATGCTTGTGCACTTTGTCTTTTCCATCCTGCCATGTGCTATTCTGAATCACTAAGTACACAATCAATACCTGCTGGAAAAAGAGAGAGGAAATAGAAAAAAGGAATTGGGAGAAAGAAAAAAAAAATTTATATTCAAAACATTATCCCTGTCACACATGCACTCTAAGCAGTGGAAACCCAATAGTGCTCTTAGAGTAGGTTAGCTAGAAACAAAGAGAGGAAGATGAGATTTTGTACCTCGTCCCAGGATATTATAAAAGTTAGAAAACCTAGATGATCTTAGATGCAAGTATCATTTTGAAAAACAAATAGAAATTTCAATATATACATAAATTTACATGAGATTTACTCTTCTAAAATGATTTGTCAAATCTCTGAAATAGAAATATTTTATTAAAAACTGTCTTTGTATTCATATAAAATAACCAGAGTGAAAATAGATGCATTTTCATTATGATATTAATAGATCTTACTCATTATAAATGTTTTTCACCTTCTTATATGTATAATTTCAACAATCTTCACAAAAACCCATTAGGAAGGTATTTCTGTTTTACAGTGGAGGAAACTGAGTCTCATATAAGTTATCTGACATGCTCAATTCATAGAGCTAGTGTAGACTAAACCTAGGTTCTGATTCCAAATCCTCCCTACTTTCTAGCATCCTATGCTACCTCAGTTATATTCACTGAGGCTAAGAAGAATAGTACAATTCTAAAATGCAAAAAAAGAAGTTGATTTTTGTCTTGAGGAAACATGGTAATATCAGAAAAAGATAAATGGTTTGATTATTTTCTTCACTTGTTGGCCTTTTCTTACAGACTTGAGCACTACAGTGCTTATTTTAAGGCAATGTGCTTCATGCAACTATCAAAAGATGATTGACTCAGGGCCCCTGGTATAAGACAACCACAATGAAGCCCAAGAAACAGACATGTAGACACTTGGCTATCAAAGTTCCTGTGTGCTGTACGGCTGGGACAAACTAACAGCTGTTGGATCAGTCAAGAGAGCAGTTAGTACTGTGGTATTAGAAAATGGGATACAGATTGAGAAAAGCTTCATATATATGGTATTGAATTTGACATTGAAAGGAGGATTTTGCCATGAGGAGAAGCCCAGTCAAAGAACAGAATAAACTGGGTGCACTGGCCCACCCCTGCAATCGCAATGGCTCGGGAGGCTGAGGTGGGAGGATCGAGAGTTCAAAGTCTGCCTCAGCAAAAGTGAGGTGCTAAATAATTAAAGTGAGGTGCTAAATAATTCAGTGAGACCTTGTCTCTAAATAAAATACAAAATAGAGGATGTGGCTTAATGGTCCCATGATCCTGAGTTCAAACTCCAGAACCCCACCCACCACACACACCAAAAAAAAAAAAAAGAACAGCATGAACAAAGCAGGAAGAGTCAGATGAGCCATGTTCTCAGGGTCCAGAGTGAATGGATGTCAGGGAATAGGTAGAGAATGGCAAAAGTTCAGGCTGATCAGGCCTCTAGAAGTTGGGCTATAGTGCTAATAGTTCTGGCTTTTATCCCTTAATCACAAGATGCAAGTCCAAGTTCTATTTCTCTTTGTATGATTAGCATCCATATGTTTACAACATAACCAAAGTAGTATCAGGATCAAATTTGGGTTTTAGAAAGATCACTCTGGCAAAAGTAAGATGAAAGGAACTAGTGTAGATAAACTGACAAGAGATTACTGCAGAGAGATGGGAGGCTTTGAAATGTAGGGCCCAACACACACACAAATTGACAATTGAGAAACATGTTGGTGTGCTAAAGAAAGATATGACGTTCAAGTTCTAATGGCAGCAGTGCAATTGCCCAACATGGGGGATCCAGAGAGGACTTCTGATGCTGTTTTTGGTGAATATATTCTACCCTCTCTAGCATGCCTCAAAGAAAGTGAAGTAAATAGCCATTGATAGTAACAGCTATTATTCACAAGAAAATTAGGACAGAAAAATCATTCATGCCCTGCTTGGCTAAAAGGCTGTGGACTGGCAATTAAGAATGCTTCTAATTTGGCATGCTGGAAATTGGAAACTAGTTCCTCAAGAGAATATTATTTGGAGATCCTCATATTCATCAGATGGTTTGTTCAGCTCTAGATGTTAACCAAGTTCATAAATAACCATCTATTTAAAAATAACAGAAAACAAATGGGAAAACTATCATATTAGTGACATTTAAAGTAATGTTGATTATTTCTCTTTATACCCATACCTTACATGCCTTGAAGAAAACTTTTATGGAAAATTTACAACATCTATAAATTAATATGAAATGTTTGACTCATAAATAGAATACTAAATAGTTTATAGAGAAATGTTTTAAAATTAAATACAGGGGAAGGTCTACCATGGTCCTGAAAAGAAAAGTAATTATTATTCCTAAATCATAGGCTTAATGAAATTATAATAAAAAATACCAGTATATATATATATATATATATATATATATATATATATATATTTATTTATATTTATTTTTTTATTTTTTTTTTTTGGTACTTGGAATTGAACCCAGGAGGGCTTAACCACTAAGAAACATTGACAGTCCTTTTTATGTCTTATTTTGACATAGGGTCTCACAAAGTTGCTTAGTGCCTCATCAAGTTGCTGAGATTTGCTTCAAACTTGTGATTCTCTTGCCCCAGCCTCCCAAGTTGCTAGGATTTCAGGCATGTACCACCATGCCTGGCCTCAGCAGATCTTTTTGATATTTTACAAAATCATCCCAATCTTCCTATGGAAAAAAACCGAGAAAATTCAGAAAAACTAATATAATGAAGGGATATTTATTTACTCCATCATTTATTAAAATATGCTATAAAAGTTGTAAAGATTAAAACATTTTTATTTTAGTAATTAGTAAGTAAATCTGTGGAACAGAGTAGATTTTTAAAAAATTATATTTAAGAATTTATTGCATGAAAAGGGATTCAGTATATAAAAACCTGAGGCATTTTTTTTAATGGTACCATGTGATTTGTTGTTGTTTATTTAGAAAAGAAATTAAAGTCATGTCCTCACATAGTTTTAAAAATATTTTAATTGCAAAAATATTTACTAATTTAAAACTAATATGTTATATTAGTTTTTAAATTTCAGTAGTATATTGAAGCAGTAAAAAAGTTGTTTCAGCTAACTTTGAGGAAACATCATTATTAATTATGTGTTCATGTGAAAATTGCTATAAACTATACTCTTCCTTTTTCT